GCCGATAGCTGCACATCAGAGGATACTCATCACCGTCACTCCCTCGCTGAGCTCTGATCTTCCTCAAATAGTGACGCAGTACTCCTCTTAAGGTCAACATCTTTTACTTTCCGGTCAGTATGCACTCATCCCATCAAGAAAGTAAATGCAGCCTGTCAACGTTTGATCAGATAGTACCCCTAAATTCGGCATAAATTGATGGACAGAAAAGCTATGAAATGTTGTTTTTTTGTTATAAACTAACACACATTAGACATTTTACTGACCAACAGTTTGAGGATGTGGGTATTTATATACATTTATATCAAAACATTGTCTGCGTTTGGCTTCTGCAGTAAATTGAAACTGTACATCCATGAATCTAATCAGACATCCAGTTGAACAGTGCATTTACTCTCTCCTGAATGCAACGACTCACTTCCAAGACTTGTAAAAGGTAAATGCATCAATATATGTCCTTATTCTAATCTTCATCATCGCTTTTATTGCAGTTTTCAGTTATTACAGTGATGAAAGTTTGTTGCAGATACTTTTCACACTGTACTTCTGTCCTAGCAAAACTAAATTCTAGATTATTATCATGAAGTTTTATAATATGCAGGGTTTTCTTAATTTATTTGCTTCACAGCTGCAAAAAAAACAAAAACATCCAACGTTCTAAACTGGTAATATAGTCATGTAAACTCACAGAGTTGGTTCCGAGGATCTGCAGGCTGGGTTTGTCCGACTCCAGCAGCTTGCGCACCATCTTGAGGAAACTCTCCACGAACAGGTTGATGCTCTGACAGTGGCAGGCCATCAGCAGCTGGTCCAGGGCTTCCATGGCTATGCACACATACCTGAACAGGAGGGGAAAGAGACACGGAAACATCTGGATGACGCCATTAACCCTGTAGGCAATGACAACTGTTTGGATATCTTATATGGATATATGCATTTTCTAAATGTCTAACTGCACACAGCAACAGAAATATAAATGTGATAAGCTCTGCCAGAAGAACTATGGAAAGTCGCATATTGAACAGATTTCAGCCGGACTCTGCCAAGTGCAAATGTGTTCTGTGCAAGCTGTTTGCATTGGCGAGAATCGTCACAGAGCGTCCTCGTCATGAGTCATAAAAACCATCAACTCCTGTGGCATATAAACTAAGTACAGAGTGTACAGAAACCCTTGATGCCCGTACACCAACCTGCCTCCCCTTCCACTAGGCTACTTTGTATGGAGTGCACAACAGATATTTTTCATTATACAGACAGAAAAGTGTAAAGAACACAGACGTATCTGGTGTAAATTCAACGGCATAAAAACAGTTTGCGTGTGGGTTACATGAGACATGTATCCTTTTAGACTGGTCTTTAAATGGGGGTCTTTAAAGCATCTTAAGCTCTTTGATGGACCGTCAGTGGAAATCTTTATCGTGAAAGGCTAATCTGTGCACCATCTATCACTTCACAGCAAGATGACTTTAGATTCTTATCACGATTTGAATGCGTTCACTTCACTTCAGTTCAGTTCACGTGTGGCAGAGAATAAACAATACAAAAGAAATGTGCAAACAGTTTTTCTTTAGGGCAGAGACAGCTGAAATGTTTTTTCGAAATCTTGATGCGTTTTGAATGACGAGTGACTGACGCTCACCCGTATCTGTGTCGGGCCACATCCCTCGACAATCTCTCAGACAGGTAGGCTCCGATACGGTCAAGCTTCTCTGGAGCCGACAGGGCGTAGAATGTCAGCTTCTCCATGTTGGCCTTCACCAGCCCATCCTAGGAGGGAGACAGAGGGGAGACAGAGAAGGGGGGGGGAGACAACAAGATAGAGAAAATAAGAAGATTTTAGCATCTCATTTGCATGGTTTAGAATCCTAGAGGATTGTGACACCCAAAACAAAAACATCAGTCACTCTCAGGTCAGAGGAGATGCACGTGAGTCTGGTATGTGAACTAAACAAAGAAGCAGCTGATTAAGACAAAACGTCCGTTTGCTTTCACTGAGGAAAAAAACATCAGTGGCATTTTTTGCACTAAATCAGGGTAAATAGATCATGATTAATTAATGTGTTCCACTACTGTTCCATAAACATGTTTGATGCAAATAGTGTGTGCTTCTCCTTAAAACCTAAATTGTATTAGTAAATCTAGTTCACAAAGTTTCACCACCTACTTTCCCCCTTGACCCACTTCACTGCTCTTCAGTCTGGTCAGGGAGGATTTGTTGGGAGATATGCACTCCAAGATATTACTAATTACATTTACAACGGTCTACTCAAGCACGACAGTAAGTCACGCCAGTGAGCAGGCATGTACGACACCGGGAGCCTGAACTGAAGAGGTTAAATGGAATTCAGCCACCGTTCATTTCTCCACTTGTGGTTTTTTTTTCCTCATATTATATGTAGCATCAACTGCCTTTTGGTCCAATGTCTTAACCGTCCCGGGGCTTTCCTATTGTGCACTCCGGCTCATTGGCACGGCTTCCTGGCACACCCCAGTGAAAGGAGGGCCTCGTTAATGTTATTAGTTGCAACGGCCCTTTCAAGTCAAAAAAGGGCCAATTCCACACATCAGTGGCTTATTCTAGAGGTCAGCACCGGGCGATTCTAAAACATCCTGTGCTTTGAATCCAGTGCAGGCTTTTTTTTTTTTTTTTTTTTTTTAAATAGTGTTAAAAATATAATTTGTAATTTCTTCCTAATGATAAAATCCAAGCATATGCAGTCCAAGTGAAACTAGCAATGCACACTACTGTGGTGCCCCTTACCACCAATTATCTGGGAGACACACTGAAATATAGTAAACTGTGTACAAAACATATCCACATGCTCACACAGTGCGACATTTTTTTAATGTAAATGTTATCAGACGGTTTCATTATTCCCCAGCTGCTGGGATACAGTTAGTTACAGTCTCAGCAGCCCTGGGAGTACAATGACCAGACGCGCATGAAAAACGAGGTCTGCTTGTACTAGTACGTCCTGTATGCTGCAGACTTGGCCACAGATGTGATTGGTGAAGTGGGTTACTGCGGTAGCAAAGAGGCAAAAAGAAAAAAAGTTTTCTGCAACAAACCGTCTCGTTCTTCTCCACCCGAATGATTCTCTTTATGAGTCATCGGGATCTCAGACGGTGAGCTGAGGTTTGATACAGACAGCTTTGAAGTAGATAGTTAGGTACCTATGGAGGCTGTTTTCTTATCACCTCTATCTCACTCTTCCTTAAATCTCAGACAATATCACAACACTGTGTTTATATTCATTTTCCAAGGACTACAGATCAAAAAGCTTCCAGCTAAATCTGGTACAGTGCATTTTCTCACATTTTTTAAATATGCGTTCAGTTGTGCACTGTTGTCTCAATTAACCTTAATAAAGTGCTGCAGGGATGACGTACTTAAGTAGGCCAACATGGTTCCCTCAACAAAGGGCCAATGGGATTTTTCGCATGTACACAATCATACAGACAAACAGGGGAATCGTTATCGACCTCAGACAATAAACATACTTGTTTTAGGGTTCAGAAAGACATTATTAAAAGAAACACTCGAGCTTCTCACCTCCGGGTCTTCTGGGAAGATGTTGTCCACCAGTCTCTTGTACCGAGGCCTGAGCGCCCCGCAACAACCACAAACCCCTGAGGAAGACGAGAGATGGGGGGGGGGGGGGGAGGAAGGCAGATGCTCAGTTACACTTGCAACATGACTGGCAGAAATGTAATAAAAACAAATGAAAACAAAGTGCAAGCAAGTCTTATTTTCTCCTCCTTCTCCGTTGTTGCACTATTCACCAGAGCCAAAGTAATAACGTACGTCTTAAATCAGCCTCTTGGGTAACATACTGTAGGTTTAGGTAGTTATTGACACTAATCGGTGATATACAGCCAGTCTAAGGCAGCAACCAATAATGGCTTCACATTAACAACATACTGTATCCCCACAAAAGAATTGGTGGCACACTCAATGATGAAAAGCAAGAACATAAATGTTAACCAAAGAATAAATGAAAAGACATGTGGAGCTGTAACGACTGTCAAATTGACTCGTCAGCAAGGAAAACACAGCTGCAGCTAATAAAATAATAATGGGTACGGCAAGTATGGACAATCGTCTCAGTATTAATGTTAGGGCCTTGTTTAAGTGACACACTTGAATATAAATATACACGTGGTTCATGTTTATTAGGTGCTAAGCTTTATAGCCGGCTGCGATAGGTTCAGATGATCGGCTGGAGTGCAGAGAAGCAGGGATGTTCTTGGGGAGCTGCAGAATACAGGCGGACATCACGAGCTTTCATTGTGTCAGGGCAAAGAAATATAGCAAGCGTCCGCTGAACTGCAGAGTCATTTAGTACCCTGCAACAATACAAAAGCTGCCAAATGTTGGATTACAATCACCAGTGTCGTGGCACGATGCCATCATTCAAACCACTGGGTCCAAGATTAAAAACATCACACGGACAAAGTGAAGGTAGTCAGATATGGAAAGAATGTGGTCACAAGATTACAGACTCGGATGATCTCACTCACTCACTCACTCACTCACTCACTCACACACACACTCACTCACACACACACACACACACACACAAGTGCAATACACTGAAGATTGATTTCTCTGACTTTGCATTGAGGAGAAAAGCAAGCTAGGCAGCAAAGAGAGGGCTGGATTGTGATTGGTTGAAGAAATTCAGCAGTGGTGAGTCATAAGCGGTCCAAGGAAGAACGAAGAAAGCTCAAAAAAAAAAAAAGAAGAAGAGAGATATAACCTCTAAAAACACCATTTAACATAATTTAACGCTTTATGCAGCTCTGCATAATAACTATTATCTTCCTGCTGACACCAAACAAGGATAAATGAATTTAGGAGTCACAAAAGACACTAATGACAGAAAGTAGGTCATTCTGCTGAAAGCAATGCAGTCACTTCTAATGACTGGTTTGGTAACCTGACACTTCAGATTGAGACAGTAGAAGTGTAATGTATGTAAGACGAGCAAAACAATCCACTATAAAAAACATATTTCCTCCCCTTCCTCCCCCCGAACATCAGTTCCATTCCCTGTCTTCTCCCAAAGGAAAAATGTTTCATTATTCGTTTTTGCTGTTACACAGATTGAAGCATTTCTTGCTGACATGGCACTAAAACCCCATTCTGAGTGCATACTGACCAGATATTAACAAAATTGCCAGATGCCCAATTGCCCCCCCGCCTCAGTGTGCTGTACACGACATACAGTAGATGTAGACATGTAGGTGCATTTAGTGTAAAGAACTCATCAACCAACCAACAAAGCCAGGGAAAACTCTGTCCACACTGTGAGACAGCCGGCATCATACAGAGATTAGTTTGCCCAAACCAGCTGTCAACTGTGCTACACGTCCTAAAAATCACCCCCAAAAAAAATCTTTTTCTCAATATTAAAATGAACCAACTGTGCACATTTCACACAGATAACAGAGGCAATAAGCCGCCGCGTGCCCGACTCACTAATACAAATGGATGAGCTGAGCTCAGCTATAACACCGCTTCACAAGACAACCAAGTTCCCACTGCAATACAGTAGATTTCCATGTGATGTACAACCACAATATATAGAACAAATTAAACTAATTTATACCCAAAACACTTGAAATCCCATCATCAACTTTCTATTGTCTATAAAATGTCAGAAAATAGTAAAAAAATAAAAAAATAAAAATTCATCACAACTTCTTAGAGGCTGAAATCACAATTTCCTTTTTGCCATTTTTGCTTGAAAATTGACTTCAACAATAAATCGATCATCAAAACAATTGTTGGTTTAGCTCCATCTTATATTGCCTGAATGTCCATTCATTCATTCATTCATTCATAGATATGTTGTGTGAATCTCACTAAGGTGATGATTTAAATAAGGATACTTAATAAGTTTAATACGTTGGTTCATTCCCAACTTTGTTAAATCTTTAAGGAGGATTACAATAACAATGTGACTGCCATGAAACAAACATGTTCTCTGTCACACTTCATTATTTCAAACAAAGGACAATGTGGCTTTAAAACACAATTGGTTAGCCCTGTAGGTACAGTATGTATGGAGACCATCTTTTACAGCAAAGCACCGAGGCAATAAAGATTAAATGGCTGCCTTGAATAAGAGCTTTTTATACAAAGCCCTTTACAATTTGCATCTCATTCATCCATTCACACGCACTCACCGATGGCAAGCAAGCTACCATGCAACGTGATACACTTTGGAGTGCTGCCCAAGGACACTTCGACATGTGGACAGGAGGTTTGAATCCCCGACCCTGGCAGGCCCGCTCTACCTCCTGAGCCACGTCCCTGCATTCACTAGCCTCCTGGTGTGTTAGTGACCTACACCTGGGAGGAGGGCAGTCAGTACAGGACAACATCTCCTTGAAAAGCCTCTTAATGGAGAAAAAAGGGATCTTTAGGCCCTGAACCTCTGTTTAAAGGCCTCGGTGTGCTCTCTAAAAGTTCTGCTGAACTCCATAGCAGGCACTCTGCTGGTGCTTAGGCTTATCTCTGACAGCCGGGTGTCTATTCATAGTGCTGCCCCTCTCTCTCCTCCATCACTTCAAACACTAATGAGGCCTCTTCTGCACCCCTCCCTCCCGTTGTCCCTTCCTGCTGCAACCCACCAAACCTTCCCTCTACCACCTTCTCTCATCCTTGCTGTATTGGCCCCGGGCCCGAGTGTAGGAGTCGCAGAGGATTTAATGAAAATGCAGTGGGTCCCGCGAGTGGAAAGGGTTGAGGACAAAGAGAGTGACAGAGACACAGGCAGCTAAAGAGAGATGGAGGTGTGACGGGGGAGGAGGATTGTGATGCACCGAATGAGTCACAGATTAGTGCTACTTATTGCATCGTCTCTGTCCAGCACAGATCCGTCCTCTCTGTCTGCACTGCTGTAGACAGGGGAGAGATTTTTGGGAGGAGAAGAGGGATTGCATATACTTTTTATTTATTTATTTTGTACACACACACGGTGAAAACAGTAGTGCTCCACAATCATTTTAACAGCTCAGTGGGTGTAGCAGTTTACATGTTATTTCCACTCCTGTGGTGCACTGCAAGCAAACACATTTTCCATTACAATTGGTTACAGGCGGGTTCTATTCCTAGCCACTTATTCTTTATGACTTTAAAGTTGCTGCTATTGCTTATTTGTTTTTAGACCAGCTGGCATAGGCCAACTGCACGCACAGTTATATAATAAATATTATATTTTAACTATACATTTGAACAGTTTTGACATTTTTGACAAAAGCCAATCAATCTTAAAGCAGAAAAGTATTTTCTAACTTTTCAGAGGCTTGATGAAAACCAGCTGATGTTGCTCAAAGTGGTACGTGCTAGTCACTATTGGACTGTAAGCAACTAATGATTATTGTCATTATCAATAAAGTTATTCTCTACATCTAAAAACCCCCAAATATTCAGTTTAAATTAAATAAAAAAGGGGGAAAAGCAGCAAATCTCCAAATTCGAGAAGCTGAAATCAGTGGTTTTTTTTGTGCATTTTTGCTTGATAAATGGTTTACAGCTCTAAAAATCCAACTGCAATCATTTTCCCATTTAGTACCATATTTTGCTCCTAATGTGCTTCAAAGTGGGCTGTGATACCACGTTTCTATTGGAAATGACTCCAGCTGCCTCACCGAGAGAACACTGTACAGCTTCAGAGTTGTGTTGAGTTTGTGTGAAAAACAAAGAGTGTTTCTGGTGTTGATAATGGTGGGTTAGTGTGGAAACAGCTAAGAGAGATCAGCAAGGTGGGTGGACAAGAATTTGGACGACAGCGGTGAAAAGCACACACACACAGGGGGTCTCACGACATCCACCCACTCTGCATGGCGAGCTGACAACACATTTAGGGGCGCACACACACACACACACACACGAATTACTGGTTGTTGGTAGGAGGACATCTCTGCAGCCTGGTGCACCAGACGTGGGGAACTTTGGCCCGTGTGATGCATCTTACTCGTTTCCCTGATTGGCGATGCTAAGCTACCGGTACACATCCATGCAGAATGAATTAACGTGTGCATAATGTGTACACATGTGCAGAGGGGTCTCCAGCCCCTCAAATCACCCCAGCAAGGAGCCCAGCCAATCACAACGCTATATTTATCCCTGTAACAACGGGCTGGTACATTAACAGATTACACTCTCCATTTCCCCCAGGATGTCAGCTTAACATTTCCACATTAGGGTAAGCAAGAGATAGAGAGAGGAAGTGAGACATGTTTGTGCATGATACTATAAAAAGTAATAGAAATATCCTCCACACACTCGCACAAACACGTTCAAGTGATAATTGCAGTACTGCTGCACCTATCGGCCGTGGACAATAGCACACCACATTTGCTCATTAATATCTCGGACAAAATTTATTTATCTCGAGGAATATAATATTCAAACTACACACACAGAAGGAAGTGAGTGACGAATAGCCCGGCGCATCTTGCAGTATCGTATCTGCACCTGCTGTCCCAAAGCAGCTCTGTTGTATCTAAAGTCCCGTGGCTGACAAGAGAGAGTAAATATAGTACTGCAAGGAGAATATCAAACACACTTTGGATCTGTCACTTCTCATGATGGTCAGAATGCATGTTGCCCTTCAGGAGTGTTATTACATAAGAGTGTGGGGGGGGGGGGGGGGGGGGCCCAATCCTTCCATTTTTACAGCAGCAAAAAAAAAAAAAAAAAACATCCTTAAACTGTAGATTCAAGCAGTAAAATGCAAAGCACACACCAGACTTATATACGCAGAGAGAACAGGACAAGAGGCGAGGAGAGCTTACGAACATATTTAGATAATGAGCCCTGCGGATTCAACTGCCAAACCAATATGCACATTAGCTGTTGCTCAATGAGTTTGAGAGAGAGCTGTACAGCAGCTGAGGAGAGGAGGCGAGTACTGTGGAGGAGAGGCTGATGGCGTTAAAAAGCGTGACAAAGAGGAAGACATTTTTGTCACTAGGGCATGCAGATAAGGACAAGTATTCAAATGTGTTGCGTATATAACCACAACATCAATCTACCCCCCCACCCACCCACCCACCCACACACCCACACACACACACACACACACACACACACACACCTCAGAATGTATCTTCAGGCTATAGACACGCATGCACACTGTGCACACACTTTGCCGAGGGTGGAAGCAAACATGGCTGTTATAATGCGACCAACATACTGATGCACAGACCAGGCTGCCAACAAATCCTCATGGCACAAGCCCAATCAGACACACTGTGAATCACGGTCAAACAGGCGGTGAAACCGGGCTACGAGGGACTCGAGCCCAGAGAACCGTTTCCATACAGCAGCTCACCAACGCGCTGCACAGCGAAGCCTAACTCAGCTTGTTCTTCTGGTACGCAGTGTCCGTATTCATCAGCCTTCTAACCAAAGCCTTTTTCCTTTTCCATCAATTGTCCGCAAACTCAAAGCAGAGCCGACTACATTTGTAATTAGTGCTAATCAATGAGCCGTTTATCAACATGTCCCAGTAACAGCAGAGCGACAGTAAACAAACGCTAACACCAAAAGGGGGATTTCGTCATGATCTCAAAGTTTCACAGAAAAGTACCACCGTCCCTTTAACAGCACGTTTCCTGTTTTCAAACATGGAGTTAACATGTGCTACGTAAAATATTGAAGAATCATAAAAAACGAGAGGCTTACAAGAAATCTATACACTCATGACTGTCTGAAAGTCCACCATACAGATAACTACAACATTTGGCTGAATGTGTTACAAGACAAAACGTTACCACCTCGAATATGACAGAAGGAAGCTATTTGAGTAAAAAAAATTTAAGTGTCTCATTACCAAATATAAACATCTTCAAAAGCGGCGTCTCCTAATTTAATAGAGCGGTATCTTCACAAGAGTCCAGGTTCCCATAATGCGCCTTCAGGAGACGTTACACTGTGGTGACATCTGCGGTCCATCAGCTATGAGGAAACGCGTTTGTAGAATGTAGGAAAACTGGCTTAACGCTGGCTGCTTCACATTACACACACACACACACACACACACACACACACACACGCTCACAAACACAAAGTAGAAGAGCGGTTGTAATTCTTACCGTACATCGATCGTGATGTTGAGAGTCCCTCACTACAGACGCTTGTGTTTTCTCAATGCAGCTCCAGTCATACAGAGACACTACTGTGCCAAGAGGCACTGAAAACACACACACACACACACACCGACCGCTCACTCTGGTATAAACGCCTGCACGTGTGCGCTTGGAGCTAAAATGCGCACCGTGATTGGTGCAGAGCCTGGCTCGATGCACTGAATTACACACACTCTCCCCGCCGTGCGTGCAGGCAGGCAGGCAGGCAGGGGGCTGAAAGGCAACGTCAGAGAGAAGCGTGCCGTGATGACCTTGGATTTTCCCGTTTGTCTTCTGCAACAGCGCTCCTTCTGAAGGGGGGGGGCAGATTTCACATGCTGGCGCACACGCACGCACACAAACCCACCTCGCTTCTAACCATTTTCTCAGTCGCAGCGAAAGAAACGGGAGAAATGGGGGCGGGTGGGGTGAGAATATGACAGAAATATGCACTACAGGGATCGACAGGGAGAAGACCTGCCACCCACGCAGTCTCCTTCTCCTCCTCTATCCACGCTGTGGCAGCGTCACTCTTTTCCCTCCTCATCATCATGCCTCCTGCTTTATTTACTTTCAGTTTTTCCTTCTCTGCTGATGCAACTTTCTGTCACGTTTCCTTCCATTGTCTAGCCGAATACCAAAATGTCTGAGTGATTATATAACCGCGTTTACTGCTTATTTTTCATGTAAAACTGTTAAATATCATCCACTACTACTAACACAAACCCGATGATACTGCAGCGTCATTGTAATTGCATGGATGAGAGCTTGAAATAAAATCTATGCCGACTTAGCTTTTTTTCATTCACCTTTTTTCCATTATTCCAGACATCAGTTTATAGAAAACATTGCATGAATTTTTTTTAAGACTCGTCATTTAAAAAGATGATTTGGAAACAATCTAAGATAGAACTGGCTCGTATGGTGTGAGAAAGTGAAGTTCCCTCATAAAGCTGGGTTTTTGCAATCACCAAAAGTTCTCCGCTGTCACAGGACCCGGACAGAGGACCACATCAGGATTGCTTAATTGAATTAAAGATGGTGGCGAATTGCTCTCAGTTGAGCGGTTCGTCATTAGTCTGCATCCTCTTACTGTATGATACCATCATCCGCTGCTTAGAGCAGGTTTATTCATCTCTACACTGTATGTGAATTTCCTGTTTTTACAAGGATCTTGTAAGATATTGCATTGCTTGAATATTAATCCTAATCCTTTTCAATCAAGCTTTGTGTTGCTTCGTTCTCGCATGCCAGATATTCCGGTTGCTGATCAGCAATATTCCCAGTGGATCACTAAGCATCTCTTACCCAACGGAGAGCATTTAAGATTTTATCAATCAGTAAACATTAAGACCCAGACTGAAAATTTCCTTAAAAATCACTCTTTTACAGCAACCTGTGCCAAGTATCAATCACAGCCAGTGTTTCTTCTGTTGGCCTATTCAAGTACCCTCTACAAACTATGAAATATGCGAAATCAATTTTTACAAGACAGCAAGTCAAACCCAATCGCTACTTTCCTTTTTGCGGCTCGACATATTTTTGCATAACATCATGGAACCATGAGGAAGAAAGCAACTTTTCTGTGAAATAATGATCCGTTCAGAAATAGAGAAGGAGCCAGAGGGAGAACAGAGGAGGTGTTGTTGTGTCACTTACCCTTGCCAACGCGATGGTCCAGTAGGGTACGACAATCCAGTGCCAGCCTCTGAGAGGCCGGGACATCGGGCGCAGGCAAGGGCATGGCAGGCAAACAGACACGCAACAGCCCACCAACACACACAGACACTACTCCTTTTACAGGATCAGAAAAACTCCTAACCAAAGCCAAAAACAAACATGCAAAACTATAAGCAACACGCTGAAAATCCTTAATTCTACGGCTATAATTTAACAAAAAAAAGTTTGAAAAGTAAGCCAACCAATACTCCAAAAAACTCACCGCCGTCAAATTCGCAATTCCTTGATAGATAAGCTAAATGCAAAGTTGACCAACTCACATGCATCCACAACTCTTTGGCTGCAATAAACATTGAGACACATGCACACGCAAAACATACACTCCCTTAGTCAAGCCTAAACAGAAAAGTCATCTCCAAATTCTTTTTAAAGTTTCACACTGGAACAAACTCCCAAATCCCTTTGAGTCCTTTCTGAACACCAACTTGCATGTCCCTGTCTCGAGGCTTCTTAGTAATTGATGTCAGTACATAGGCAGATTGACCGTATTAACAAAGAGATTAGCGATTAGTCCTTCAACAGCAGCTCTGCTCTCTGTGTGCACCTCTCTCATTAATAAACATCTCACTAACACAATGGACCTCACTATCCACCCAAAGAGAGGCAGGGAGACACAGGGAGAGGAGGGTGGAGAGAGGCTGGGAGAGAGAGGGGCACTGTGGAACAGCCATTCAGTCAGTGGGCTTGAGGTTCAAGGAATGTAGCCATCAGCAGAGATACCAACAAAGGCAAAATGTCTGGTGAGAGATTTCTGTGCAAATTCACACGCATCACACACACACACACACACACACCACACACCACACACCTGGGACACTGATACAAAGCTTCCACGATCAGTACATTATCTATTGTGGATTTGGTGAAGCAGCTCAAACTAGCTGTAATGTCCTCAGCAGCCCACTTCTTCTGCACTGTCCATATTAAAGTTTTGGAGGGCCGTACATGATGCCTTCAGACAGAGTACAGGGGTTTTAATAGTTCGGGGTTGCCCACCTGTCATGCTGGATGCTTGTCACAAGGCGGCGATGTTCTTCCAGAATCACAGAGGCAGAAGATGGGTGGCACTTCAGCCCCGAATAAGAGTCTCCAGCGGCGGTCCAAAAATCAGGAAAACGGCTGGATTGTCTTTGGCCTGTGCAAGTTTGTATTCCAAAAATTAGCCGATGCACTCATGCATGTTGTTGTCATCAAAACACGGGAAGTACCGGTCGTTAACGTTTAACCTGACCCGTGCCAAGTAAGTAATTTAATGCACGATAGTTAACATCTTATAATACACCGGGACAGACATCCCAAATCATGACAGTTGCATGTAAATAAAATGAACGCTAACGTTAGCAATGCTAGCTTTTAAAGGTTTTCATCCCACGTTAATTTGTGCTCCCGTGATAGCTTAGGTTACTCTTTACTTTCCCTTGATTCCGAGTAGGTTTAGACATACATTCACGCCTATCAATATACAAGAACATTAACTCATTATTCAGAGCCATAGCTATTCCGCTATGCTAGTAGCAAAGTATGCTAACGTTAGCTAGCTGACTGACTTGCTCAACGAGAATCCCCCTGGCTGCCAACGTTGATTGGTGTCAGCACTGATTACTTACCATGAAGTGAACAGAATTAAAATCCTTAACATGTGTGGCATGCAGACAGTTAACATCAGCCACCTTGACTAAAGTTCAGCCCAGGACAGCATAGATTTAGTCACAGCGTTACTGTTCCTCCAGCTGACAGATGTGACTGGCTAACGTTAGCTCTAAATAGGTAACATCCCACCACCAGTCACTAGTGTCATGTTTGAATACGTGCAGTCTAGGCGCCCACTACCGTATCTTTATTTATAACCCTTTGGTTTTTTTTTTACTGGATACATATTGAACAGCATATCACACAAATACTCTATCAGATGTCTGGTCAAATAAATGCTATAACATTCCAGAATAATGAGTGTATTGTGATTTAAAAAAAAATATGATAGCCTAATGTTGCTCTCTAATGTTGCTCTCCTCATTATAGCTGACATACATTGCTTTCAGAGGAATCAAATCACCACATGGTTAGACATTGTCATTTCAGAGTAAAGCTTCCCTTTATTTTGTGTACAAGGACAACATGCTTTTGTATTGTTCAGTGAATGATTATTCTGACCTATTTAGAGTGTGCAATTCCCTTTTATGTGTGCACTCCCACATCATATATCCTAATTTATGCAGACCTGTTGCAGAGTTAAGCCATCCAGACATGTTAAGTGATGGAAGAATGAAGGAAAATAAATGATTACTAATTCAAAAAAGCAATTCATTCTGACTATCAGGCTGTAATAGATTTATTGAAAAATATAGCCTGGAGCCTCTATCTGTGAATGGGACATCCTGCTTTTGAAAGTATTTTTTTCTACCAGTTGGTGACAGTAGTGAGTCAGGAGAATCTAATAAGAGATTGTTATGAGCAAAATAGTTGGCAGTTTCCTGAAGTTATTAATGTGCATAAACCAGTTTCATTGCAAATGACATGACCTAAGACCGAAGTATTTTTACTTGTTGAGCTAATGATGGCTAAGCTACAGCTCAAAACTAAGGGTTTGGTGTCATTATAGGATATGCTTTTTGTATTTTAGTGCAAGAGTAGAAAATAATTTGCAGAACTGTGTAGAAAATGTGAACCTCATAAAAGCTTGCAGCCAAGGTCTCTGACAAAACATTGAAGCAAGCTTTACACGTTGAAAAGAATCCTTTATTCCCGCTAGTGCTCCTTACTATCACCATACCACCACTTTAGTGCGGGAGGCTGCTTGTAGCCATCGTCTCATATCATTCATGTTTATTTGTTGATTTGCAAATCCTTTTGACACAACACATTGAAGGTTTTGTGAGGTGGGAAATGCCAAATCAATTGTTAATATGAAAGTGTTTTGGATCAATCCCTGCTCTGGTCAGCATTGTTGTTTCACTTTGACCCTACTGACCTGTACATGTCTTCACTTTCAAGAGCTTAGGGAAACTGCCAACAAAAGCTGGCATGCATTCACTGTCCAACTGTAGTCCAACGGCACACATACAAGTTCGTGATACAACAACATCAACACTGTGTTGGCAAGCACGTATAGACTAAAGAGTCAGTTCTGTTGCTGGTCTCACTTGAACGCATGTGAGAATCAGCTGATTAGTGGACAGCCAAAGCAGTTAGGCCTTAATACTAACTAGCTTCTGGGGTTTTGCCCTGAGTGGATTAATTCATCCTAACTCCTCCCTCGGGTGGACACAAGTTCACAGGCACTCCAAATAGAGTCACTAAATGAAACGACAGATTTGTGCAGTTAACAGACACTCGTGAGCATTAACTTAAATGTCTCATCATTACCACAAAGGCTATGCTATGTCAGAATGAGCTCATTGTTTCTAGTAACAGTGGCATCTTATTAAACATATTCAAAGGTGCTTTCTTTACTTCATGCTTGCCAAAGTTAAGAGAGATTATGCTGATGTGTTAGCAGCCATAGCACCGTAGAACTAATTGCCTTAGACCTGGTGGCTATTTTTAGATCGACAGTAATCAGCAAGAAAGGTCTGAGCTACACAATCACGTTTTGACAGATGGCAACTCATTAGATCAGCCTTAGGGGCCTGGCCAAAATTAGCAAAGCCAGTCTGAAAAACTTTAACCAGCTTACAACCACAGGGAGCACAGACCTGCTGATGATCAGCCAATGCTCCTCTTCATCAATGGTGTCATGTTCAAACAGCAAACAAGAGAATACGATTAGCAGGTAAATACTTAACTGTAACAGGTGAATCTGAATAGAATAATCCTTCTAACTTGTGAAAAACAACCTCAGGATGCTCTAACGACTCAGGGAATCAACCACAAAATGCTAATACCATACAATACTGCAAATATCTAACAATGCCACGAAAATGATCGGAACATTTGTGCATTGGTTACAGATTAGTCCTTGCTGTGCATTAACATTAACCAGCCTGGTATAAAAAGGACAAACGTAAAACAGAAGATACTGAGCAGCAGAGTATATTAATGTTTTTCAGAATTACTCAATATATTTACTCAAAATATTCAATCAACCATCTATAGTGTTTTTATAAATAACATATTTCAGAGAATATTTGGAGAGTGTTACAGTGACACTTGTGTTTTTTTAATAATATCCTGAACAATATAGCTCACAATTGAATGAAACACAATAAAACATACACAAAATTTATTTTCTTCTGCAAGGAATCAAAATATTTTCTCCTTTTAAAATGTTGGTCACAACGAGGCACCTGAAACTAGTTTAGTAAAGGCCGTTTCATTAGCGTCCATTTGCTGTTGAATCACCTCAGGGTGCTGTTACCAGGTGGGAGGTGATTCAGCGAAGTCTGCCTGGGTTTATAAGCCTTTAGGTAATGTTTTTAGCTGCTCACCTTATGGCTCTAATTGCACTTTAGCATACTGACATAACCAAGTGCACGAAGGCAATCAGGAGACAATTTCAATGATGACATCAGAATGAGAGTAGAGTCCATGAAAAAGAAAAATGCAAAGTGAAAGAGAGAGCATATTAAGAAGCACTGATCGTAATGCTGTTTCATTTAAATGTCAACTCTGCTCTTAAAAGAAACGGTTGAGTTAGCCAAATTGCATTTTTCATGCCGTTGTCTAGGTGCCAATGATCTCAGCTTTGCAGTCCAGTAAGAGTGGCTGCTGACTTACTAATCCTCTTTGCACTCCTCACTCCTGCAGCTCTGCTTCGTGGCCGTTTCAAAACAGTCCTGGTGGTGACCAGCAATCCGGCCAGAAGGTCTCCACACATCTTGGCTGGATATTTGCCCCACCCCCCACCCCCACCCTTCTCTGCATCCGTTTTGGACACTTCATCACAGTGGGAACTGTCTCAAGTTTCATTTTCACTTTCATGGATTATGCCTTAATATTCAGATCTGCATACAATTCCTCTGCAATGGATCCAGCACAAGTGGATTATGACGGGATGGACGAATATATCCTATGGCAAATGCTAGACATGAGGAGTGGATACACAATATGTAAAACAATACAGGTCAGTTGTGGCCACAAGCCTGACAGTGAAATTCTTCTTTATACTACAAGTGTTACTGGAGTTTTGTCCTCTTCAGACTCTTCCCCTTGTTCATGCACCAGGGAAGTAGGTGAAATAGTGCAAGAAATCCTGCTTCTACACAACAGGTGTATACTTTATCAAACAGGGGGCCTAAACACGTGTTAAAATGTAATAACTAAGTCAGTAAGTCTGTATATTAATATTAGAGTAACACATGATCCTTTCACAGCAGAGAAACTCGTCCATAAATGCTGCCATATTACAGCAGTCACTCACAAGGTGAATACTTTTAGCTGCCGTAGTGACAGCCTTGATTTAAACGCAGCTCTTCTAATATGAAGTGTTTTATTATATCCCGTCTTTGACGGTCAGACTGCTGACAGTGGACTGTGAGTGGGTGGGACAGCGGAGAAGTTAAACTCTGTGCATTAACCAGCTCAGTTCTAAATCTAATCTAAAGCCACCAGGTAATTTGTTGGGAAGCTGCCTTTCTTCTGGCACACACTGTGCCAGCACGTGGAGCTCCAACATGCTGAATGTGTGCAGCATAACCAGTTCTGTCCACATCATCATCATCATTTTAAGAAGGGTTGAAACACTAATGAAGATTTGATATGGTTCTTTTTAGAAGCTGTTGGCACATTCATTGGACACACGTCCTGTGTAACCCAAGTGGTAGATCATATCAGGAGCCGCAAAGGCTGTAAAATCAATTGCTTTATTTATGACAAAATAGTAAAGATTTTCATGGTTCAAATTATGATTTTTTTTTTTTGCTCAATTTAGCATATGTTGATGGGTTTTTTTTGTCGAAAATCTGTTTCAAAAATCGTAAAAATTTATAAAATGATCAAAATCAGCTGAGGTCAAGATATCCTCACTTCGAGTCAAGCTCCAAAAACCCTGGATCCCACATTTCCCATAATGCAACTCGAAAGCATCATTCATTAGAAACCTCAACTCCATCCGCTCGGTAAACACCCACATCCTTCAACCTTCACACCTCCAGTTTGTAAAGCTTCCTGTTACAAATGTGTGGTCTCCAAGCCCAAGCTTAGACAACCCTGATGACATTGTTGTGACATCATCAAGGTTATCTTCTTGACAAAGCTTCTCCAGAGCCACGGAAGACGTTACGCCGATGTTTTCACATGCTGAGTAGAACTAAACATTACTAGTTTACTGAACTTAATGTAAAACATTTGTGGAGTGTCCCTTTTAAGAATGAGTACGTCGATAGTGTGAGAAAAAGTTTGACATCTCGTCACCATCTTTTCCTTGTTCCCCCCCAACGATGACACTGTTCCTGCTCCAGGCTGCGGTCTCCTTCTGATCTGAGACCAGCAGATGAGGTCAGCTAAGCTCATCACAATGGTGACCTTCTCTGAGACGACACAGGTCTCCCCCATGGAGCTGCGTGAGCCGTCCTGCCTGACCCCGACCCTGTCCCCTGGGCTGCGGCGGAAAAAGAGGCTCTGGCAGAACGCTGTCAAACACATCATTATCCAGCAGGAGCTCAGTGTTAAGGTGATTTTCTGTCCCACAGTCATCAGTAGAATTGTTGCATCCAGTTGGAACTGGAATTATCGTCGCCAGGTGTAAGCCTGGGGAGAGGTTATGTAATTGATTGTGTGTGTGACTGTGTGAGTCTGTGCATCCGTGAATGATCTCGCATTCTGCTGCAGCACATTTCGAGTGCCCAGTTATGACCGCACGATAGGACCTCTTGTTGTTGTATGACCTCTTGACTCCCGCATTCTCTGAACGCCTTTTTCACCTCACTCACCACTCTCAACCCGTTATTGTTCTGCAAGGTGAGTTCGGCTAACAGCTAATGGAACTACTGGTGCACACACTGCTGTACCTTTGTGTTTCACATGAAAGAATGAAGTGTGTTATAAGATGAGTTCAAACCCGTTGCTTGTATATTGCTGCTTGTTTTTGAGTTTGCCTGAAATCTGTTTGACGCCGCTTTACAGCACTGGTTGTGTTAATTCAATCACACAATACATCAGCGGTCATTGCAGACACATCTGGCGGATAACTGCACTCTAGTGCACTTTTCTAGTTTGTACTGTTTTATTTTCTATTGTTTTGTACATATTCCCTATGAGATTAAGAGTAATGTGTGACCAGATGTGGTATCCTCTGAACCACTGCCTCATTTTACACAAACCAAAGAAAATTTAACTAATCTAAAACTCATGTTTGACGTCTGTGTCTGACAATGTCTCGACTCCAGAATGAGTCCAGACCATCCACGCTGTAATGAAATGTTAAATTCAAATAATCAACCTGAACAAATACTTTAAAGGGCCAGTTCCCCCAAATAAAACTACTTTCTCAGTTGGTTTTTAAGGTATCTTTCCAGTGTTTTGAGATGTCTGCCATCACTCTAATACAACGGAGGTGAATGGAATTACATCTGTAGCGGTTTTCAAAAATTTCAAATATAATTTTGATACAATTTAAATATGTAATATAGGGTTGGGAACTACAAATTTAATTCAGTTCCTTCAGGTGTGTTGACATCGGGGCCGAAATCAGGCAGATAGATGAATATGTCACAAGATCTAAACAAATAAACTAATTTATCTACATGGGTACCACTAAGTGAAATAATGAATGTTCCAAAAACACAGTCCAGTGATGATTATTAAGAACTGTAAACAACATGGATACAAAAAGACTCCTACTTTCTAAATGACCGTAGTTTGTTTGCTTTCCACCATAAAGCTATTTCTGGACCTACCTCAATATCACTAAGGAATGGTTTGAGGTTTGGGAAAAAGATTGGTAATGGTAAAAGTGGCAGATGTTAAAGCCAACACACCTGATTTTCTGTGGTGTTTGACAGGTGGGTTTGGAGCCAGCAAGTAAAATCTTTGTGACGGATACCTACATGGAGGAGATCAACAGACAAATCCGCAACAAGGCCTCCCGAGGGGTCACAAAGCGCCGCTCCTCCTCATTGAAAGTGGACCCTTCCCAGCCCCGAGGCTCCACCAGCACATGCAACAGTGTCAGGGCTTATTTTAATGAATACAGCAGCGATGCCGACTTCTTCGTGCACTGGGGCCACACTATTCGTGGAGTCTACATACCCAGCCTGAGGCACACCTTTAAGTCTCGCGAATTGGAGAAACTCTACCAGCAACACTACTCCTGCCAAAGACGCAACTCTCTAGCCATTACTAATGTAATCGATGCCATGGCCAAGTTACACATATTGATTATGTACCTTGCAATGGTCCCTGAGGCGGTCACAGACACTCTGCGAGGCTGCCTGACGGGCGTTTTCATGGTGCTAGCTGTAGCGCTGAGCATCGTGGTGTTAACCTGCAAAGACTCCATGTCCCCGCGTTGGCTTCACTACGCCGGCCTCACTTGCTGGTTGTCGCAGACCACGCAGGTGCTGGGAGGACTGGTGTATGGACTGGAGAAGGACCCAACGTGGTATGTCTTGTTCACATTGTTCGCGACATACACACTGCTGCCATTACCTCTGCTGTGGGCCATGTGCGCCGGCTCCCTCACCTCAGTACTGCACCTGCTGGTGGAGATACTGCGCTACTACAATGATACCGCGCTTTTGAGAAAGGTGAGAAAGTCAACTGAACTTAACAAGTCTCAAATATCCCCAGGAAAATATTACAAAGTGTAATGTCTGAAATTGTCATTGATTTATCATTATCAAACCAATAATTATTATTATTTATTATTTATTTATTAATGGCATTCGTTTATTGATAACTTTACTGTTTAAGCATACTATACTTTAACGTCTGAGCTAAGTCATATTTATTTACTGTATACCCTGCCCAGTTTTATGTTCCAGACCCTAATAAACTAGAAGTACCTGCACCGTATAAAGCTGATAATGTAATGTCTGTCTATGCACCCAATTCTCAAACATTTCCATATTTCAAAGTGGAAAACTCTTGAGTGCACCAGCATACAAGCTTTATCCATGTAATGAACTTACTGAAGTTAATTAAAAGAAGAAGACCCAATTTATTAGTTATTATCCTCTTCTCAGCCCACATGCATTGGGTTAAAATTAATTCCATGAATGCAAAATCTCTCTCGGATGCAGGTGTTTGCCAAAGGCCTGCTGTACCTAGGAATGAACACAGCCGGCTTGTTCATCCACTACCTGACAGACCACGCCCAGAGACAAGTGTTCCTGGAGACGCGGCGGTGCATTGAGGGTCACCTCAAACTCGAGCAAGAAAACCAGAGACAGGTACACTGACTGTTACCGTCGTGCTATGGGTTGGACTTCGAGGAATATGAAGACAGGGACATGCTCAATATGTTAAACCACACACCGTCAAATAGAGTATTTTACACACAGGAGCGCCTGGTGCTGTCGATCCTGCCTCGTTTTGTTGCGTTGGAGATGATCGGTGACATGAGCTCTTTGGAAGATGAAGTCAACCCTCAGGAGTTTCACAAGATCTACATCCACCAGTACAAAGACGTGAGGTACACACACACATATGTTTCTCATGGATGGCACCAAACACTTCAACAGGCTCCTCTATTTCAATTTAAATGTGTATGTTGTTAGCGTTCCACTTCTTTTCTGTTTCTCTCGTCTTTGCAGCATTCTTTTTGCAGATATCAAAGGCTTCACCTTGTTGTCCATGAACCTGTCGGCCCAGGATCTGGTCCGGACCCTCAACGAGCTCTTTGGACGCTTTGACCGACTGGCAGATGTGAGAATTCGAGCTCTTCTTTTTTGATATAACATCTATTTTTTATTCTATCGATACCGTATTATCTCTTTTCCCGGGTGTTTTGACTCTTTATCATCACAGGAGCACCACTGCCTGCGGATAAAGATACTGGGAGACTGTTACTACTGTGTGTCAGGGGTCCCTGAGCCACAGCGGGCCCATGCCCGTCATTGTGTTGAGTTGGGCCTGGACATGATCAGCACCATACGGTCAGTCTTAACTCGCTGGAGTTCTTGAGGGGTTGATTTTATTTCACTATACATGACTACTCTATGTTTATGTGCAGAAAGAAAAATAGCAATAATAATAATAATAAGGTGTCGCTTTACTCCCCACCAACAAAAGGTACGTGCGGAAGCAGCTGAACTTTGACATGGACATGAGGATTGGGATCCACTCGGGTTCTGTCCTGTGTGGGGTGCTGGGCCTGCAGAAATGGCAGTTTGACGTCTGGTCCTGGGACGTGGGCATTGCCAACATGCTGGAAGCCGGAGGCATACCAGGGTGAGTGGTCTCTGCTAGTGCCCGAGTTCAGCCAAAGTACACATTTGATCTCTTCCTGGATTACCACATGTTTATCTCTGTAAAAGTTAATGTGAGGAACTTTAAAGTGGTCATAAAACTATTTAATACAGATGCCTCTAAATGACCTACATAACCAAACGAGACCATCAGCGAGACGATTTCTATATAGTTATTCTTAATGCTTGTCATTAATGCCACCGGGTCAGATTCAGCAACTAACTAACCCACCGTGGACAGACCCAGATCCAGCTTTATGCTGCTTTCAACCTGCAGTCGGCGCTCCGGCGGGAAGGGGAGAGCAGAGCTTCGCTTCATTGCTTTGCCTCACTGCTCCGCCAGTCCCCGCTAAAAGCCAACACCAGCAGAACCAGTACTGCGCGGAATAGACTTTCAGACCCTGCTTCAGTAAAATTTGAGGTTTTCTAAAGGGACTCTGGCTCTCAGAAACACTTTTGTCCACTGGGACCAATAAAATCAACACAACATTAAAGTTCCTTAGTAGTAGCTTTAAGCCACTTAGATCCCGCTGTTCATCTATCTCCGAGTTTTTTGCCATGTCAATGGCGTGGTGTTGTGAAAAACTATAACTTTATAAAATTACCTAGAATTAAATTAAAGTTTCAGAACTTCTATTAATAAAAAACATATGGTAAGTGTGTGCATTTAGCCTCTTGTCCCAGTTTTCAACAGGGATCCAAATCACTTTTTCTTTTCAAGAAACATTGTAAACACAGCAAAGTGTATAAAACTTGATACTAGACAGACTGCAGGCTTATCAAGTCTATGGCTTCCTCGTGTAAAAAGCATATTTATTCTGAATGAAACTATTCAAAGTCAAATATCTTTTTATTACTATGATTGGCAAGCAATTGTTTATACATTACCGATACTTTTCTCTGCTACTACCTTCTCTCATCCAGACGCATCCACATCTCAAGGGCCACTCTGGACAGTCTAGAAGGCACCTACAAGACAGAAGCTGGTCATGGCCGTGACAGGAACGAGTTCCTGCTCAAACACAACATCGACACTTTCCTCATCGTCCCTCAGAAGGAAAAGAAAGATGTTGGTCGTGCTGAGCCCCCCAAAGTCCAGAAAACCAATCGAACCTGGAACCCGCAGCTGCACTTTGAAAAAAACGCCATTGACATGAACAGTGTAGGTGTTTGTAAACAGCTTTTTATCGTTGGCACTACGTACCTGATTAATCTCACACCACCGTATTCTTTTCCTGCAGATCCTGGCCGCCTTTACCAACGGCTCACTGCCCAACATATGCCAGTCCACCTCCAAGGAGATCAACAAACGCATCAAACACGCTATCGAGGTTCAAAGCAGTGAGCGCATGCACAGAGAGCACATCACTCCTCTGACCCTGGTGTTCAAAGACCCGCACATCGAGGAAAAGGTAGGAAAAGGCGCTGGTTCAGGCGATGTTTGGTCGGAGGAAATAAATGAATGCTGGAATGTAAATGATGCTTTTGGTTTTACCAGTTCTCCCAGATGAGGGATGAAATGTTCAACTCCAACCTGGTCTGCTCCTTCATCATGCTCCTCTTTCTCATGGCCGTCCAGGCCCTCATTCCTGCGCCCAGGTGGGGAGACACCAACGTTGTCCAGTAGAAGCTCACATTGTTAGCACTTTGTTTGTTTTTTCAGATTTGAATGCCCTTTTATTAAACGCTAACCTCTGTAAAGTTTTTATAAAAGTAATATGGTCAACTATATTTTCACATTGCCGAAAGTTAGAAGAATCCTAAAGAATCTGTATATGTGGACAATGAGCAATATCAACTTGTAACTTTTTTTGACTGAATATTTCAGCTTTCATGAAAGTTTGTTTGATTTCAAAGCCTTTATTTGCAGGATTTAAAAATGTTTACTTTTGTGTTATCTGGAGGTAGTATCGAAAATGAAATTCACATTTTTCTGGTATATATGTCACACGCTTCCTCTTGTTTCTTAATTCTACAGTGGATTGACTTTTTCTCTACTTTACACACTTCCTTCCTCTTCCCCTTACATTCCTCTCTTCCTCTCCCTCTGCAGGCTGTTCCCGGCCGTCCTCCAGTTTTCAGTCTTCCTGCTCATCTACATGCTGCTGCTGTTGTTGGCCCTGGCGGAAGAGTTCAGGTGCACTCCTTCACCTCTGCAGCAGTTATGCTGCTGGATCCATGAAAACAACAGTGCCCGCAACATCCTCACCCTTACTGCCATCGTCATCAACTTTGGCTTGGTCTCTACTGACATGGTGAGAGTCTCAACAACACAGGGCCAGACTTACAAACATTTCCCCTGCTACAACTTTCCTTTTGATACGTCTGTACGGTTTTGGGCCTGCTCTTTAGAGGAGGTGGAGAGATTTCCACATAAAGCTGAACCTTGCAAGTGAACCTTAGGGAAAGTCTCCTGCTGTTTGCATGATCCCCATCTTAGATGTATATTCATAAAGGAGAAAGATTCGCCTCCCTGCTGACATGTGAAATGTGCCCAAGATGACAAGCAAACGATGCTTCCAGGCACTTATTGGCATTGAAATCCAAGTATAAAATACAAAAAAACCTCCTCAAATCTTTAATATGTCAGAATGATCAATATGTTTCCGTTGCGTTATAGGACTCCTTCTTTCAGTCTTTTGTTTTATGTGACTATTTTGTGCTGTGTGCCCGTGTCCAGATATGGTGCATTCTCGCAGACACAGGGGAGGCTGATGTAATGGACAGAACCAACACAGCCTCACGTCCACTCACCATCTGCACTTACCCCGAGGTAAAGACAGCAGCAGTTCAAATGTCTTCCTTTAGAAAATAATTACAACAATATCTGTCAACACAAACATTTGGTCTCGTATTAAATAAAACATTATTATCACATTTTCTACTTGAGGTTTCTCACCCAATGCCCTTTTTTTTTTTACTTCAAGAAGGTGAAGTCATCCAAATACTTTCTTCTTCTGTGTCTTTAACCACTTCTTCACCGCCTCTGTCTCCGCAGGTCTTTATATTGAGCGGCGTAATTGCCATGGTGACTTGTGCCGTGTTCCTGCGTCTGAACTCTCTGCTGAAGCTGGCGGTGTTGCTGCTGGCGATGGCCGTCTACTCCTACCTCATCCACCTGGCCTTCCTCACACTCACACGCCATGATACACCGCACAGGTTGGTGTGAAATACACACCGGCCGGCTCAAACTGGGCTTTTTTTTCTACATTGAGTTTGATGTTTATAATTATTTTTGCCTCTTTACAAAAAGTTTCAGTATTTCATTGGGCTGTTGCTATTTGGAGTGTGTTGGTAGTTGACTTTATATATTCTATATATACACTTGTACACAGCGGTGGAGAAGTACTTAGACAGTAAAAAAACAGTAAAGTGGAAATATAATGGTCTCAAAATATTCCATAGAGGTCCTGAATTCAAAATGTTACTTAAATAACATTTATGTTATTATATAATATAATATTATTCTTTTTATGTTGTAGTTCATCAATGTGGTGCAAATTTACATACTTTGTATATTACTGGGTAGATTAGTAGTATAGTACTCCATCATATAAGTGTCAAATAAATGTAGTGAAGTAACAAGCATAATATTTCCCTCTATGGAGTAGAAGTATTAAGTAGCATACTCAAGTATGTACAGTAAGTACTGTACTTGAGTAAATGTAGTTATATTACATGTACATATACATATACTCTTATTTACTTCTACTGTACTATTCGAACATATCTTTAGTCATGTTTGTTTAACATAATTTAAATCTTTATATTCCACCTCTCTTCATTCATTTCTGCTCAGATCTCACTATGTCAGGATCAAAGGAATCTCCATCCTTCTCATGGCCATGTTTATTGTTGCCGTCTTCTACAATGGGCGGCAGGTACCGTTGAAGTTTCACTGTGTTGAGCATATTGCTGTTCAGTTTAGTTTGCTCCTCTTATTTTTCGTTTACTTGAACTGATAGATAAAGGAGTATGTAGGAAACAGGCAGGTGACCTCTGATAGTTTTATCCATCTTTTACTTCCCAGTGGGAGGCCACTGCCAGACTGGACTTCCTGTGGCGTCTACAGGCCCAACAGGAAGTGGAGGACATGAGGGAATTGCGGGAACACAACGAGTGTCTATTACACAACATCCTGCCGGTGCATGTGGCGCGTCATTTTCTGGACCGCAGCAAGAATGATGAGGTGCAGAAAACATGACCTCACCTCTGACTGTGTCAGCCTCTTCCTTTACGTGTTTTTTTTCTCAAATGATTCTTGCCTTTATCAGACGAGGACATTTTATGTTGTGTGGTTTTAACATTGTTTAAAGCAGAGCTAGCATCATGAGGAAGAAGGTGTAGGTGAAATATTTTAGTTTTTATATAAACATATTATATCGAAGGGGAGTTGTTTTAATGGACTTTTTAAGTGTTATTTCCCAAATGTCAAGGATGAAATGTTTAAAAGGCAAGTGCATGACACCATTTTCTTTTCAGGAGCTTTACGCCCAGTCGTACAATGAAGTTGGTGTGATGTTTGCCTCCGTCGCTGGATTCAACGAGTACTTTGAGCAGAAAGAGATCAAACATGAAGGAGTGGACTGCCTCCGACTTCTGAATGAGATCATTGCTTGCTTTGATGAGGTGAAAATGGGACTTAAAATGAAAGTACAGTGGATTCAGAATATGTTTTTGACTCCATACATTATATAAGAATTTGAAAAGTGAAATACTCAAAGTATAATATTGCTTTTGAAGGGTAAAGGCTAATTTTAGCATAAACAATTTATATCCAGGCATTGAAAACAAGAGCAATAAAAACCTCCATTATAAATCATCTTTCATATATGTTTATATATTTGTATATGAATGCACCATTGCATAACTCTACTGTATATATGAGATTGATGTGTGATTTGATGTCTTTATCTCTACATATTCCACAAGTTGTTGGAGGAGTCGTACTTCGACTATGTGGAGAAGATCAAGACCATTGGGAGCTGCTACATGGCAGCCTCGGGCTTAGCTCCCGAGAGACAGGTGGGACGTCTTCTCGCACACATTCTGCTATTTACTTCCATCCTCTGCACATGCTTTTGATATCTTCAATATCCCACCTCTTTCTCTCTCTCTCTCTCTCATGTCTAACTACCCATCTGTCTCTCTCTCAGGCATCCATGCATGAATGGAATCACCTGAGCGAGCTGGTTTTGTTTGCACTGGCAATGCAAGAGACCTTGAAAGAGATTAACAGCCTATCTGCCAACAACTTCCTGTTGCGTGTTGGTAAGTGGCTTACCTCCTTCACACATAAACAATGAAAGGTCGATTTAAACAGCTCTCCGCGACAGTTTCTGATGTCATAGGTTTAATACGTATTCATTATTGTTGCACTGAAAACAGGCATTGCCCACGGGCCGGTGGTCGCAGGGGTGATCGGTGCCACCAAGCCGCAGTATGACATCTGGGGGTCGACGGTGAACCTGGCCAGCCGCATGGACAGCACAGGTGTGAGCGGACGTATCCAGGTACCTGAGGCCACGCGCAGGATCCTGGCACAATGGGGTTTTGTCCTGGAGCTGCGTGGAGAAATCTTTGTCAAGGGGGTGAGTGGCTAGTGGCCATTTATTTGGGTGGCAACAGCACCGTTCAAAATACAGTGGAACTGATTTTACTGGATAGCCACAAAGTTTAGTTCAGGCTCGATCATTTTTAGTGAGGGGTCAAAAGAAACAGGGTTTTCACCCAGGAGACTGCTGTTTATGTCCCATGTGAACCAAGTACTTTAGTTGCGTTTTTGTTTTGTTTTGTTTCGATTGAGTAATCATTTGAAGCCAAACCATGATACTTCTTACTAAAACTAACCAAGTAGTTGAGTTGCCTTTTGTCTTTTGATTTGTTTCAATTTGCAATGTTAACCACGTGTTTAAAACTGTTTAAAACTGTTTAAAACTGCGACCGTGATTCAGGAGGAAAAGCATTTTCCTTGAAACGTGCAGTTTAGTTGTGTGGGAATGCCATTTTGTACTAGACCAGGGTTGCATTGAGGCGTCAGTGAAACAGTTAATAGTGCAGCTAATGGTCAGACTCTCAGGCTTGGACAAAGGGGACATCTACTGGTGAAAAGAAACAACAGAGATAAATGAGTTGCATCACTGATCAGGAAGGAAGTGCATGAAATGTGTAGATATTAATGCATCTTAACCATATTTGTGAACAAGCATTGATAGTAAGAAACCTTAAGGCTCATTGAGAAAAGGCTTACCACACTTAGTGACCGCTGCTGTCGTTGCAGGTCAGCGAGTGTCAGGGGAAAGTCCGCACCTACTTCATCGGCACCACGCGCAGCAAGAGGGCCAATTTTGGGACGGATGGTCGCCTGGGGGTGCGGACGGGAGGACGCATGACGCTTGCAGAGGTGGTGTTTGGTCTCGTCCAGGCCAGACACAAGGAAAAGATTAGAGAGACCAATGGGGCGTTTGGTCTGTCTCCCTCTAGACTTAAATGCTGAGGGGACTTTTAAGGTCAGATGGCTGCAGGTGAAGGAGGACACGGCCCAGCCATATTGCTTCTACTGGTTTACAGTTTTTGTTGCGTGTGTTTCTTACTTTGCCTTGCCATAACTAAATTAGCTGCACAAACTGGAGAAAAGGGTGCGACTGCTAGGATCCAAATCCTACCAGAGCCTTTGTTCCTGTTTACTCGATGACTGTGTCCTCCTCTGCTTTCCTGTCATCTATAAAATAAATGTTTTGGGGAACACTACCTAAATTTAGAATTCCAATATGTTATTTCCATGGCCTATAAGTTAAATCAGTATTTGTGAACATGAGCTACTCTCTCTCTCTCTCTCATAGCTAAAAACCAGAGAAGTCTCGAACTTACAGCTCCAGACTTTGTACTTGAAGACATCACACATTGGAGTTTTAGCACTTGATTTGGGAGAGTTTTTCATATTTACTCATATTTCTTTGACCAAAGGAACAACATGTATGAATTTTGAGAATGGCTGTAGATCCCCTTTAAGGGACGAATAGGGGAACTAATAAATGGACAAATTTCTCTTGCTTAGAAGGGACCTAACTGTCCCACTGGCTTCGAATAAGCATCTTAAGGGCACTGCTTTCTGTTTTTTATTGCCATATCTTCACCTTATAAACGGTGTAAAGCATGTTAGGTTCATTTTGTACAAAACTAAAGACGGCCAACGTGTCTATATTTTTTTGCTGGAATCACACTTCAGACCTCTAAGCCAAAATACCTCAAAACAGCCAGCTCAACCTCTCATAGACTTTCTACTGGCCTATAGTGCTGACTAGTGTTTTTTTTTTTACTGTATCATCATGCACCATTCTCACAATGTTCACTATGTTTTGTATTGTGAGTTGACACATTTATTAAGATAATGTTAGCCAAGATTTTCAAAGATATGTTTTATGGATCGATTGCTGTTTGCTTTCATATCGTGCTGTAAATATGTTTGATCCGTGTGCACCTCACTGTAGAGGTATTTCTTGTCAGCTTGCATGTCAATGTCAGTGTCGCTCTGGATTTCTGAGACTTTAGTTAATGACATAGGACAAGGGGATTCAGTTTTGCCTCAGTACACTATTACTCTCACTTCCGTTACTTGACTCGAGATGTATTTCTAACGTGAAGTTTCACTGCCACGTTTCTGTAACGTGCCAGTGAAACTCCACAAAGAGGTCAGTGTTGAACCAACTTTAATGCCAAAACCACCTCCCATGTCACTCCTCTTCACTTATCTGCTTATCCACTGCAAATTATCATGTATATTTAATGTCGTAAGTGATGGATGACAAGCTCATCCGTGGGACTTCCTGGGGAATTCTTCAAGTAAGTTGGTATATGAACACCTTTTTAAAAAACAGAGAAACTCAGGAAGTATTCATTAATATTTAGATTTATCCATGATCAAAATGTTTACCCAAAAACAGACTTGGCTGGGAATTTAAAATAAAGCTGTGGTTTCTAAAAGTTTGGCATTCTGGGAATGTAATGTGCAGCACCAAAATGGTGACATTGTGAGATTAATAAGATATAATACGTTTTTTAAGATAAGAACAGATACTCCACTTGATCTTAGCCAAAAGGCCGTGAAGTGAGGTGTTTAGACTGACAGTTTTGAAAACCTGCTTCTTTGCACAGCTCCTCTATGTGAGCGGTCTGAAAGTTGAAGAAACAGTTTTCGGGACAGTCGGAGAAATGAGAGTTAAACACGACAGTTGAGGAAAATATCACAGAAGTACTACAAAGAATTTTTATTTAAAGAAGCAAATGGAACAAATGTGGTTAGTCGACGCTTCCTGCATCGTGCCTTAAAAGCCAATAAGAATTAAAATAATGAGAAACCCAGTTATAACAATAATTACAATGCATACAACTGATTTATTTGTATTTAATATTGAAATATAAAAGACTGATCATGACAGGGTTCTCTGGTTCGGATAATATATTATATAATATATATATATATAATATAACGAATGAAGCTCCAACAGTGTCTGGACATAAAACTGCAGTTGACATTTATTTAAATACAAAAAACACAAGTAATGCACGTGGCAGTTGCAAAGATTAAAACATATATGTTGTAATTTGCTTATATTAAAGTATATGTGATGCTTAGGAAGAAGTAATAAACCCTGTGTCCAATTTCCATGTTTCCATTTTATACTGCTTTGTACTTCTACTTAACTACATTAATCTGACGTCTACAAGAAGTTAGTTACCTTGCAGGTTAAGATTTTAAATGTGACAGTCTGATATGATCTACATTAAACTATTAGTTTATCGGTCAAACTGCTCAAGTGAATCACAACACGTGATGCAGCTCAGCCAATCAAATATGGGCATTCTGACTGAGTGAGATGCACCATGACACAGGGGGCTGAGACGAGGAAAGAAACTGCAGAGCAGTACGTACAATGCTCAAGTTGTGAAAGTAAAATCATAAGACAATCTCTTTGGGCCATGACTTGTCATTAAGGAGTGATGGTGGGTCCTACAGCCAGACCAGCTGAGAACCATTGTCCTCCATGAGGGCAGAAAACATAATCTCCTGAATTTAAGCTTCTGCATTTTCCAGATGCTCTAGTACTATTCAAACGTATTGCAAGTCTCGTAACTTTCAGTACGTACATTTAATACGTACATAGTTACAGCCTTAGAAACTGATATCTGTGGCGCCATCATGTGGTTATAAGGTGGTATTTCAGCTGCAGGACGACAGTGAAGGCCTTGGTATAAAATGCACAGCCCGCCACTGGATCAATAATCATCCCAGAAGTTTGCATGAGCTGCACATCAGGCATCGACTGACAGAGAGGATCAGAGAAGAGACGAGGATGGACAAACTTCTTCTGAGCATCATCGTCGTGTCAGGCAAGACTTTCATATGTTTTTATTATTTTCCCATCTTTAATATTATAATATTGTTTAATAATTTCTCCCTGTGACATTCTTCTTCCCATTCTTTCTTCATCTGTTTTTACTTTAATGTAAAATGATCATTTGCATTAGTGAGTAAAGTTATTAAGTTTGAGTTGTTTATTTATTAGTGTGTAATATAAGTTGTTTACTGTCATTAGGGATGGACCGAATGTTGTTGTTGTTTACATTTGAAGCTTCTATTGAGGTTTTCGATTGAAGCGTTGAATGTCTGTTGACATATTTTTTGTGATGTAATAAACCCTAAAAGAAGAAATCCTCATAATCCACCAGAATAAAGTGATTCATCGGATTGAATGAGTTCATTTAAATCAACTTTCTTTAAATCAGTGGTTCTCAACTGGTCTGGCTGCAGGACCCACCATCACCTGTTAATGACAAGCCGCGACCCAAATCGAGGAAGATCTTCAACTTCTCAAATCTATTTAATGAAAAGAGCAGTTTGAACCTGATCTGAAAAAGTCCTTTGCAGTCGTAGTGTAGGGAGCTCTCTTGTGCAGAGAAATTGTTTTAATTGTTCCCCTTCAAAATAAAAGCACAGCATTTTTATTTTTTTTTTCTTCAGGCAAAGGCCCGCGACCCACTGAAAACAGGTCCGTGACCTACATTTGGGTCGTGACCCACCAGTTGAGAATCACTGCTTTAATGAATATAACTCATTAGTGCTGCTTCTCTTTTGTGAGCAACAAACTGGAGAGATAACAAATGTTCTGCTTCTCAACTGTGAGGGACAGAAGTATAACAAGTATAATAAATATTAATAAGTAACGTTTGTGTGACTTGTGAGTTCACTTATGAGGCTGAATCTGTGTCATGGGAAGATGAGCCTGATGCTCCAACAGGACATCTGACAGAGAGAGAGACAGACAGACAAACAGGGAGAGAGAGAGAGAGAGAGACAGACAGACAGAGACAGAGTACATTTATTTATATATATAAACCATTTATAATAAGTTAAGTTATTAATATTAAATGTAATCAATATGCTGTTTGTCAATCCAGGGCTGTGTGCCGTCTCATCACCTGCTGAACGTCGCTACCATTTTGTTTATGACCTGAAGACCATGACTGAAGCACAGCGTCACTGCAGAGAGAAATACAGCGACCTGGCCACTATACGGGACATGGAGGACGTGAACACCCTGAACACAATGGTGGATTCAAGCCAAATGGTGGACGACAGCTCTGTGAGTAATATTATATCAGTGACAGGAGGTCTGAAAGTTTTACATTCACACAAAGTCTGCAGATGAACTGTACTGAAGTATGTACTTGTACTTTACTTGAGTATTTAATTTAATGCTATTTATTAATACATTTCAGAGGGACATTTATGTAAAAGATTTAGATTAATATTTTACAAACAAAACATGATTTAATGCAACATACTGATAATCTCTACTTTATATTTAAAGCATTAATATCTCATCAAACAAATATCATCCATGAAAAGATATAGAGGAGTAATGTTGTCATTGTTTGCACTGTCAGCATCGTTAGCTTCTAGCCGCCAGCTCAGCCGTCACCACGTTGCGAGACGCTTAGTCCATTATGAACAGCAGGAGTGATTACAGGATGTAAAACCTGTTTCAATGTTGTTACAACCCAGCCCCAAGGCTGTAACATAAGGGAGACAAGACGAGTGGAAAATGTAATAAATAGACATTTATTTAACGAACTACTAACCAAACAAACAAACGATCCTGGTTCAGATGTGGTTTATAGCCATCACCTCAGCTGGGGCTCATTAGCTGCTGATCCACATCCTGAAAGACAAAGACACAGGACATAGACCCCTAGTGGACGGGTGGGGTCGTCACAATGTTCATATTAGCACCTGAATATTGTTTTAAGACAGACTTGAAAAGATCGGAAAGTAAAAATATCTGAAAGTCTATTTCTTTATATCACAATGAAATATTGCTTTCAGCGAGCCTGGATAGGACTGAACATTGACGTGGACAACTGGAGGTGGTCACTGTCAAACACAAGTTTCTACAAACCCGGGGAGACGGCGTTCAGACGTTCGCTGGAAATCTGAACAACTACTACGGTGAAGAACACTGTACATTGATGCATATAGATGGGTACTGGCACGACCACCCTTGTGATCAACACTACAAGCCAGTCTGCTTCGATGTCAGAGGTGAGAATATTAAGACTACTGCAAGGAACTTTCATTTTGTGTCGATTCTGTTGGTCCCTGTGGACATAAGTGGTAGTGTTTCAGAGCATCAGAGTACCTTTAGAAAACCTCTCATTTTACTGAAGCAGGATCTGACAGTCGGTCCTGTTCAGTCCTGGTTCTAGTTCTCCTGTGCCTCCCTTCCATCCCAGCAATACGGTCTGGGTCTGTCCACGGTGGTCCGGTCTCTGCTGGAGGATCTGGGTCTGTCCACGGTGGTCCGGTCTCTGCTGGAGGATCTGGGTCTGTCCACAGTGGACCGGTCTCTGCTGGAGTCTGAGCTGAAGGAGTTTCTGGTGAACCTGCATGAGTTCATCTGGTTGCACCAGAATCCGACCCGGTGGCTCCGATGACGAGCATTAAGAATAACTCGATAGAAATAGACCATCTTCTCTCTGATGGTCTCTTTACTGATGGAGGTCTGATAGAGGATCAGGACTAAACTGTTTCATAACCAGTTAAAAGTTGCTCATGGTAACTTGAACTAGTCTTGGGCTACATGAATGTCATTTAAAGCAGATGAATGTGAGTCCTGCCTTCATGTCACTGTGGGAGCAGGCTCATTAAGCCGGTTTGTATAATGTCTGTTGGAGGGAAAATACCTCTGATGTGTCTTTATGAATGTGGGACTCAATGGACGCCTGAATGTTCATCTTCACACAGCTCTGTGTTGACTTCACCTTCATGCTGAGATTCATTAAGCAACAATACAACTGGTATGCATCTATGTTGTCTGTTATGGTGCCTCTTCACAGCACTTTACTCTGGTCTATTTTCAGGACCGAGTGAGACATTTGTCCTCATTGACATCGACATGACGTGGACTGAGGCCCAGAGCTACTGCAGAGAACACCACACAGACCTGGCCAGTGTGAGAAACCTGGTCGACAACGAGAAGGTCCGGAATCTGGTACCCTCCTCACGAAATTATGCCTGGATCGGCCTTTTCAGAGATGGATGGAAGTGGTCTGACGGAAGTGACTCCTCATTTAGAAACTGGAAAACTATACCTAAAGGTGTCTCAAACACTTGTGCAGCAGCAGATTTTAGTGCCAATGGACAATGGGAGAACCTGAACTGTGACGTCACGAGAGCGTTCATTTGCTACAGTGGTAAGCTATCATTCACTCAGTGTTTAAATGTGGATTTAGGTTTACTTTATTAGCAAATAGAGTTTAAAAAATACAGAAAAACATCAAAAGTAGAGCAAAATAAAACCATAACTATCAAGTTATGGATAAAAACACATTGAATATGCAGATCAACTGCAGATGATGGAGAGTGATCGCCTCATTGGTGCTAGAATGCTAACACCATGCTAAGCTAAGGTTTTCTTGCACCAGCCATATTTAAAGATTGAGCTGATGGGAAATTACCATACTTTCTATTCTATCATTCAAAGTGTTAAAAATTCAAGGATGCAGATTATTATCAACCAGAAATGTTGTGACTGATGAAGTTTGTTGGTTTTTAGCTCCTGTTTCAAAGCAAGTGATAAAAGTGAGGTTGCAGAAAAACAGCTCGTCTCTGGATCTGAATGACCCTGTGGTGATGGAGGACCTCTTGAAGAAGGTACACCTTTCTAACATTAAAAAGAGAACAACCAGGTGATACATGTGATTGAGTGGACTACTAAGAACAATGTAAATGTGCTGTGTGCAGTGCACACGTGTATACGTCACTATTGAAGGTAGACTTGTGTCCAAAGAACATGCAAACAACAAAGCTGTT